TTTAAAATGAAGAACTTTAGGGTCACAAAGACAGTAAGATCCTGAAAAAGCTACAGAATAGAAGATATCTGCAATACTCCTATCTAAAAAGACTATATCCAAAATACATAAAGAACTACATCAATATGGAAAATGTAAATACCCTAGTAGAAAAAGGGCAAAAGACTTAACAGACACTTCACAAAAGCAGAAGTTCAAATGGCTAATAAACATGGGGTCCCTAATAAAAAAAAGATGCTCAATTTCAACAGTCATCAGGAAAATAAAAACTACAATCAATGTCACTACACACCCTTCCAGACATAACTAAAAATAAAAATACCAAGTGTTGGCAAAGATGTGGAACAACTGGAACTCTCTCACACACTGCTGAGGGGAGTATAAGTTTATGAAACCACTTGGCAGAACTTCAGCAAAATCTATTAAAAATGAATATATCATAGCCATAACTATGACCTAATAATTCCACTTAAGGTATATACCCAACAAAAATGCATATATGTGTTCATCAGGAAATAAGAGTACAAAAATTTTCAAAGCCGCAAAACTGTATGTAAATGTCCATCAACAGTAGAATGGAAAAATTGTGGTTTACTCATAGAGCAAACAAACCACAGTAAAACGTGAATTAATCTCATAAACATAATGTTGAACAAAAGAAGCTCAAACAAGATATATTACATGATTCCTTTAACACAGAGTTCAAGAACAGACAAAACTTCCCTGTGGCGTTAGAATACAAGGAACGCGGTGCAAGGTGAGACTTCCAGTACTGACACTGGCCGAGCTGGCTGCTACTTACAATGATATGCCTGTTTTGTGAAACTTCAACTAGCTGTACACTTCTATGTATGTCATATTTCTTTAAAAATCTTATATTAAATACAGTCCCCCCAACTAGTGAATCAAGATTTCTAATCCTCTTCTACCAAGATTCTTCACCTACACCATGCTCAAAGACTTAACTAGCAATGGTCCTGTATCGCGCCCAATGCTCCTAGAGATTCAGACATCAATCTTTGTCCAAGTCTCCTATGTGACAAGTACTTTAATGTTCACTTGTTCAGATGCTTAGTGAATATCTACTAAGTTGTACAAAACCAGAGCTGAGAACTTAGGGTATTAAAAAAATTAGCAGAAAATGATCCCTGGCTTCTAGTTCATAATCTTACAAAAGACCACACACACAAATAACAAGGTAAAAGTATAGAGATAAACAGAGCAACACAAAGGAACATCAAAAACAGACAGGGGGAGGAAAGGCATCAGGGTAGGCTTCTAAGAGATGCTAACATCTGAGTCCTTAAAACATTAGAAGTTAACCTGGTGAGGTGCATTCCAACAGAGGAAACAGCTTGAATGAAAACACAGTGATAAGAAACAGCATAGTGTATTTAAAGAAACAATGAACAGTTGTTAGACATTGCTTAAGAGTAGTAAAAGGGAGAACTAGGATGGGATTGAGGGAAGTGGCAAGAGATAGAAAGATGCCAAGTCATGAAAGGACTTAGACCTTATCCAACAGGCAAGATGGGCCAGTAAGGTTTATGCAAAGAAATTATGTGGTCAGAGAGATTATCCAGGGAGCAATGCAGAACACAGACCTAAGGGGAATCAAGCTGGCAGAAAGAACGGCAGTTAGGAGAGAGTTATAACTGTCCAGACAGAAGATAAGGAAGGGCCTGAAACAATCAAATGAAAGATACAACAGACCCAGAAACAAATACAGAGTACAGTCATCATGCTGCTGATCAAGAGGTCACATTGAGAACCACTAACATACACTATGTATCAATGATTTTTTTTCTGTAGGCCAGTAAATAGTAAAAACTTTAGGCTTTACAAGCCACATACAGTCTCTACTGCACTTCTTGGTTTTGTTTTTTTAAACTCTTTAAAAATTAAAAACCATACTTCACCAGTGGACTTTACCAAAAAATAAAAAAAATAAAAAGGTCACAGGTTGGATTTGGACTGCAGGCACTGTGAGTTTGCTGATCCCTGCTGTACATCAGTAAAGAAGTGAGGATTAATCGTCCTATGAGATTAATTTTCCTAAAATGTTTCTTGTGTATCAGTTCCCCCACTCAGAAACTTCTGCACTGGTCCTGACTGCCCATTGCGTAAGTGAAATCCCTATGAATGCGTAGGCACCTACACCCTAGTTTCAACCAGGTCCCTGAACCACACCCCTGTTAGAAGCGTCCATTCTTATCAAACTGACCTACTTATACTCACCTGCCTCTGTATCTTTGTGGTGTTCCCCAATGTACTTTCCCCTTTCCAAAGCTACCCAAACACCCTTCCTTCCAAGCATAATTCAAGTCCTTTGAAGTGATTCCACCCTCCTCCTAGCCCCTAGAAGCACTGCTTCAATTTATCTGATATTTACTTGCTGTCTTGAGTTACTACTTACTTCAAATTATCTTCCTGGAGGGCAGGGAATACTTGATACGTCTATCAGTGGATCTAGCATATAGCAAGGTGTAAATTAAAATGAAGATGTGTGTTATATATACAAAATACATATATGTATGTACACACTTTTTTTCCTCAACTAGCTATATAAATAAAGCATATTTTATTTATCTCTTTTATCAATAATTGAACACTTTAATTCTACAGACACAATCATTTGAATGCTGTAGGAACTACAGAATGACAATCCAAAAGCACATGTCTCCTATTATATGCTTTTAAGGCTAGTTTAAGGGAACAACAATAACACAAGTAAAATTTTTCCAATGGTCAGTGTTACCAATCTAGGTACACTGGGGTCTAGGGATCACTAAATTAAGTCAAAATTTACTTAGATATATTTTTAATCATTGTTAAAACATGAAATCAGCTTTTAAAACTAAATTGCTTTAAATTCACCCTTAATTATTACTTAAGTCACACACACACAAGCGACACATGGTCTGAATTTTTTTTAACAATAAACTTCTCCATGACAACTCACATTACCAAAATGACATTGATTTCATTCAGAATTTAGAGAAATAAGAATATAGTTTAAAAATTTTTTTAAGTTGTCTATTTTAGTTCACTATTGATAGTTTTAAAAACACAATGTCTTGAGCTAGATTAAAGAATTCTTACATTAAGAAGATTATTTGAAGGAGTCTTTTCAAGTCTGCAGTGTGAACTATGCCTTATTTTACTATGAAAAGAATGTTCAAGAACCTATAAAAATTGCTCTGGAATCATTTGCCCACATTTCAATGCAAACTACAAAAGAAGTTTAAAACACTTTTGAAAGGTATAGAAGACAAAATAACCAAAAGATGCTCATGAAAGTGAAAACTGAGACTCTGTAGCGCTTCAGAATACACTGAAGAAAAAACGTTCAGTGACTTACAACCCTGAAAAGACTATTATTCATTGATAAATGTAATAGTAATAGTGCCGTGATTGGAGGGCAAACCCAGGAGCCAGTGACTCCCATTCCTGTTCTGCCACTGGACGGGCACATCTGCATAAACTGAACAAGAAAAGCTTCGCTGACATTCTAGGTTGTGAGACCTGATGAAATATTTATGAAGTACTTTGGGACCATGAGGGAAGCCACTGTAACCATGAAAAGTCATCTGCTTAATGCAAAACTATAGCTACCTGTTAGGCCTGCAAATCCTTTGTGTCTTCTTAACACAGGAAATTTTCAGTGAGTCAGTAAAGTGCATGCATTTAATGAGAGAGCTTAGCAACCTCAGAGAAATGAATTATCTTGCAAATCTTTGTATTCTCACAAACCATGTCACTGTCCAACCCAACTATTTGCAAAAAGGAGAACATGATCTGCCTCACATTAAAGAGTTGGGTCTCCTTATTGACAAGCCAATACCAAATGACTGAAAATTCAGGAATCACAATGGAACTTTGTCAACTTAACAGAAATGTGACTCCAGAAAGTAATCCCCCAAAACAGTCGTTCCAACCAGAGCTTTACTAAAGGGAAAGTCCCTACACTCTCTTACATAAAGAGTTCTAAAATGTTTTTGGACAGAGTCAACAGAAGATTAAATTCACTCAAAACCTGACACACCGCGTTCGTTATTTCCAGCACCTGCTCGGTGTTGAGGCTTGAGAGGCTGTTCAGGAAAAGCGCTGATGCCATCTCCAGCTGCCCCTTTCGTGAATGACAGTAACAATGAAAACACTGACAAAAGAGCTGGGAGGCCACCCCAAGCCCCTGCTTACCAGTACTCCTACTCTACCCCAACGGGCTGAGCTGCCAATCCCAGAAAAGGGCCTCCTCTCCCAGATCTCCCAAGCCCAGACCTTGCCTCCAGTCTGGCAAGTGAAAAAGTACTACCCTTGACTCCTCTCAAGACGGCAAAGCACCTGAAGAGGTGCGGGGAAATGCGGCCTCACGTTCTCAACAGTCGGGGGAGGAGGGGTGGAGAGGGCGAAGGCTGCCTGGCAGGAGGCGGGCGAGCAGAGCCCGGGAGCGCCCGGGAGGCTGAGAACTCCCCGGGTCGCGCGGGCGCCGTTCGGGGAGGAGAGGAGAGGAGACGGGAGGGGAGGGGAGGGGAGAGGAGAGGAGAGGAGAGGAGGAAGGCGCGTCCCTCCCGCGGCCGGAGGGTCGCGCGGAGGAAGCGGGGTTCGGCCGCCGGGTGAACGGTCCTCCCCAGGGTGGCTGCGGCCGGCCACCCGCTTCCCGGGAGCCGGAGGAGGCTCGGTCGGGTAGCACATTCTTTGCCCAAGCCGGGTCCCGAGGGAGGGCGCAGGCTGCCGAGGAGGCAACTCTCCCTCTCGCCCAACTCCCGGCAGAGCGTGAGGGTGGCCGGCCCCGGGCTGCCCGGCAGGATGCCGCCCGGGTGGGGGAGGCGGCGAGGCCGGCCTCCGGCCCGCTCCCTCCCCACGCGGTCCGCGGCCGGCGGCCGTCCGCGCCCTCATCCCTCCCGCCGCCGCGCGGGGCCGGGCCGCCGACCTCGGCCGGCCGGGCGCCGGGCCAGGCGGCGGCAGCGGCGGGCGGGCCGGCCGGCCTGGGGCCCTACCTGAGGCTGTGTACCAGCTCCCGGCGTGACTGGCTTCCCGGCAGACCACTCGGTTGGACATCTTGGTGCCTGTGCCGCCTATGGTGCACGAGGATGAATGAGGAGGCGGCGGCGGCGGCGGCAGGAGCGGCTCCGCGAGGGGACGAGACACCGCGGGCCCAGCCCAGGAGGAGGCGGCAGCGGGGAGGGGATCGGCCCGGCCCAGGAGGAGGAGGAAGAGGAGGAGGCGACGGCCCCGGAGGAGGAGGAGGAGATGGCAGCCGGGGCGGTGGCGGCGGCGGCGGCAACAATCACCACAAACTCGGGCGGCCGCCGGAAGACGGGGCCCGCGGCGGCCTCACGCCGAAGCTCGGAAAGCCGTGGCCCCGGCCCCCGGAGTCGCCGCTGCTCCCCAGCCGGGGCTGGTTCCGCCGAGCCGCCCCCACGGCCCCCTCCCTTCCCGGTCGGCCTCCCCGAGCCACCGCCGGTGACCCCACCCCCGTGACTCCACGCCCGCCCCCTCCCCCCACCCCCAGCGGGACTCCCCGCACCCACCCCCAACCCCGGCCGGGCCCTCCTGCCCGCCCGGCTGCCGGCCCGCCAGCCCCGCCCCGCCCCGCTCCTCCTCCGGCCGCGCGGCGAGGTTAACGGCGGACACCGGACAGGCCAGACGGCATCTGGGGTCGGGCGGCCCCGCGAGGAAGCAGCGGCGGCTGCGGCTCTGCGCACACAAAAGCCCAGGGCCGGGGCCTGAACCGGGGAAGGCAGCCTCGAGCAGAGCCAACGCTTCCTTACTCGCCACTCTAACGGGTCCTGCCCACTGAGCATGCCCAGCAGCCGCTGCCAGGCCCGCCGAGGAATCTCACCGTGCGCGCTCCGCTCTCCGGGGTTTAGCGGCAGCAGAGGCGGGGAGGGGGAGGGCGCGGGGAGCAGGACGCAGCCGCAGGGCAAGCCCCCTCCCCCAACCAACTTCCTTAAACCGGGAGCACCGAGGGCTCTACGGTGCAGCTTTCCACGTGGAAAGTCCCCTGTCTTCCCCACCACACGCAGGAACCCTTAGTGGGTGCTCACCCCCGAAGGTTTCATTCCTAGGCACGCAAGGCTGTGGCCACGTTGGGAAATTCATTTGTAGAAGCAGGTGTGCCTGTGGTGCGGCAAGTGCTTTTACTTCACCGGGCCACCCTTACCACCTAATCGTGGTATTTGTCTTGTTTCGATTTATGTTTATGTAAGTGCATATCTTAACTCTGTACCTGGGCTACAATGTGACATAGCCAGCCTCAGTTATTCTCATCTATAAAATGGGCATAACAATACTCGAGGTGTGTCCCTAGGGTTATGAGTTAATAAATATAAAGAGCCTAATAGATGGCCTTCCCTTATAGCTCATTTGGTAAAGACTTTGCCTGCAGTGCAGGAGGCCAGGGTTTGATTCCTTGGCTGGGAGGATCCCCTGGAGAAGGAAATGGTACCCCACTCCAGTAATCTTGACTGGAGAATCCCATGGACAGAGGAGCCTGGCAGGCTACAGTCCATGGGGTTGCAAGAGTCTGACACGACTTAGAGACTAACCCCCCAAACATTATTTCTAACCCTCAATTATCTTTTAAATCCCACCGCAAGTGTCAGAAACAATTACATTAAAACTATATAATAATCACAGTAAAGTAGAATATCTTGGACCTCCAAGAAAATGTTATGGAGTAGACCATTCCAAAACTAGCAAGAGAGTAAGAGCAAATCACATGCCTTCAAAGATAGACTTGGCATTAAAACTATAACATTGTTATATCTGAAATTCACACTAAACAGATCCGTGGTAGAGGCCAAAGCAAACGACTGTGCTTAATTTTCAAGTTTTCCTAGTGTCATAGTAATAGAATTTTTTTTTCCAGGTACTACGCTTTCTATTCTCACCTTTTCGACTTTAAGTTCCATGGATCTTGCTTGAGATCCCAGTCCTGGTCAATTACTGGAACATCTCTGGCTTTCACACCTTTGTATACTTTTTAAGCTGCAAAAAAGAAAAAGAAAAAAACCTCCACTCTATATAGTTCTGTATTCAATTTTTAACCCTCTCACTTCACTGCTAACCTGCTCAAATATTGGAGGGTGGGGGTACACATATCAAGTAGTCAATCTAGGGATAACAGGAAAAGGAGGGCTGAAGCTGATTCCCTGGTACTCTCTGAAGTGACAAAACTCAGTGGTAACTGATGAAATTGTTAACACTTCATTGTAAATTCCAAGAAAAGGAAATAATTGCTATGGTTTATATGGTGTGAGAACATTGATTGCTGTGTCACTCATCAGCTGTGTGATTATGGATATCTAGTAATTTAACCTTTTCAACCCTGTTATCTCATCTGTGAAATGCAAACAGCAGTCATATTTAACTGCCTGTGAGAATCACTAAGGCACCTGAAAACAACTTATAAACTGTTCTTTGTAAATGTTTGTGTTCTCATTATCCTCTGCTCCTAGCAACAATCCTAGGTCTCATTCCAAGCTAGTAATCTAATCTAAAATTAAGCATCCTCCCTATTAAAATGCTCAGTTGGAGGCTTCTTTCCTCAAAGGATTTTTCTTACTGATCAAACTCAGGAAAGACCACAATGCCAAGTGAAGTCAAAGGTTAGAGGATCTTCTATTATCTCTAGAATGCTCAATATACCCCATCATTACTCCTCTTGTCCATCTTATTCTGGCTACTTTATTCAAGGATAAACTCTTGAAAGACCCCAACCCCTAAATTAAGGAAGATCCATATAATGGAAAATACTTGATATCCTAGAAGCCTGTTTGGCAATACTGTACACTTCAGATTAACAATTCCATTATATCCACCAAGGATTTGGGTTTGACACTCCATAAACATCATCCAAAGTAAAGGGCAAGGAGGAAATCTTCATTAATAGTCTTCATGAAGCACAGACTTCAACAAATAAAGACACCTAGAGCCCAACATTAATAACTATCTTCTGAAATAGCATGTCAGAGAGTCACTGCATCAGTCTGTACTAACAAGTAGAAACAAATAGTATCTGTCAATGATACTTGTTAATTTAGGATATATCCATATGTATGCACCCTTTAAAAACAATAAGGTGGTCTTATATACTGGTATGGAAAGAGCGTCAAAAGAAATGCAAAAAGCAAATTGCAGAACAATGTGTAAGGTTATGATATCATTTGTGTAAAACCAAATACTTCTCACACACTTGCATATAAGTGGGATACTTCTAGAAGGATACAACAAACTGCTAAAAGTCCGTGTACATCTTTGTGTATCTTTTGAACTTTGTGCCATGTATGTATACTACCTATACCCCAAAATAAGTAATTTATTAGGCTTGATTTTTGGAGCTTATATGGCAGTATTAAACTGACCATTTTTAAATCTTATACACAACTGGGCTTCCCTTGTGGCTCAGCTGGTAAGGAATCCGCCTGCAGTGCAGGAGACCTGGGTTCGACCCCTGGGTTGGGAAGATCCCCTGGAGAAGAGAAAAGCTACTCATTCCAGTATTCTGACCTAGAGAATTCCATGAACTGTATAGTCCATGGGATTGCAAAGTCAGACAGGACTGAGCGACTTTCACTTTCACTTTGTACACAACTGCTATGTTGAGGAGCCCTCTAATTACTGAAGTTCTTTACCAGAAAAATATTCTAGAATCCCACAGGGTTTTGAAAAACTGAAGCTTGAGAGAAGAGTTGAGCATAAGGATGCTCTTTTAATTTCAGTTAACACTATAACCTAGTATCAGTTGACTTAGCCCTTTTCTTCTTTAGAAACCATTCTTCATAAGGAATATTTACTAAACCCTTACTATGTACCTGACACTAGGCTAAATCTTTACATATTAAATGATTCCCACAAGATGAAAACTTGTTCATTTCCAATTTTTTGGAGTAAATTTTGTACATAGAGCTTTCTGCAAATTTGTTAATTATTTAGGATTAACAAATTAAACAGAGAAATTAAACTGAGTCAAAAGATTTAAAGTGTCTAAAGGCTGATGAGTTTTCCTATAAAGAAAATTCTTATTCATTATAGACTGCCCCCTTTAGCTCCGGTGATCTATTTCCCTAGATCACCTACTTTAAATCCAGAGATTTTAAGCAAGCGGATTGTCAGAAGTAGTCATTTACACCATCCATCTTTTTCCCCTTGTTGTTATAGTTAGACATAGGTATCAGGCCTATTTGTTAATACCTTTTTGGAATCCAGTCCAGGAACATACCTGGCTACAATATTTAATGCAGTCCCTACAACCATTCTATCATGTTGCTAATGGGAGGTTATCAATCTTAAAATCTCCTATGGTGTATGTGTGCGCTCAGTTGTGTCTGAGTCTTTGTGACCCCTTGGACTGTAGCCCACCAGGCTCCTCTGTCCATGGGATTTCCCAGGCAAGAATACTGGAATGGGTTGCCAGTTCCTACTCCAGGGGATCTTCCTACCCAGGGATTGAATCTGTGTCACCTGTGTCCCCTGCATTACATTTGGCTTCTTGACCCACTGAGCCACCTGGAAAGCCCAAAATCTCCTATACCTTTTCCTAAATGAGATTTATTTAAACAAAGATTCAATATTCTCCCCATAGGCTCATCAGAATTAGGAAGACAGTTTAGTTTCCTTCTATTAAAACTTTTATTTTTTGGTCCCACCATGTGGGAATCTTAAATTCCCTGACCGGGATTAAACCTGTGCCCTTGGCAGTGAAAGCGTGGAGTCCTAACCACTAGACCAACAGGGAAGTCCCTGTTTTTCCAATTTAAGGCCTCTGTATCCTCTAGGAATCTATTCCTGATTTACTGTACTGGTCCTCTCACTTATCCACCTTTTTCAAGAAATTCACTCTATAGGATATAGTACTTTTACTCTATTATTGTAAAATTTGTTTCCTAAACATTATCTTCCTAATCAAAGGGTAGGAATTGTTTCTATAGTAAAATTGTCAGCTACACATGAAATACCTCCTCAAAGTGTAACAGAAGCTTGCTCAAGTGATTCCTATTTAACCAACTTACTGGAATAAAGCGATGTTCTCCATCTCCATAGAAAATACACTGAACCATGTCCACCACAAGCTGAATTCTCAAAGCTGGTAGATTACACCTAGGAAATTCACATTGTTGCAACTCTTCTGCCAGGTGTGTGCGCATCACTAACCAGGCTTAATCACGTTCTCCAACCTATTTATACCAGATGTACAAGGTACTGCCATTACATAATTTAATAAAATATTACATAAGCCAATGAAATAGAAATACATAATACAAAAGGTATTAGTACAAAAATTAGGTGAAATGCTTTGGACTCAATAAAAACAATTGTCAAATGAGAGGCAGATAAGATGACCAAAGGCAGGAGAAAGAACTCATGAAGGATCATTATACACTTAATGCCTTAAGGTGTTAGGATCTTATGTCTAAGATCTTACTCTACTTTCAAAAAATCTGAAACTGCATACATTATAGGAGTGGTGTGTGGAAGAAATACAGAATTCCAATCAAAGAACCCATACCCAGAGCAATGGCTGAAATCAAAAATATTACCAATAATAGATTAAGATTTTTTAAAAAAACTATCCAGTGTCTTTTATGATTCCTTTTAATCTATCAACCAGACAAGAGGGCTTCTATTGTACACACATAAAGACAGACTGATATTTTTCCCAAGGAAAAATTTTAAGCACACCTGAGGGCAATACAGCAGTAAGGGGAGGGAGCCAATACAGCATTAAGCTTGGTTTGAATCTCTGCCCTGAACTTACTTCCCCTGTAACTTTAAGCAAGTTAATTCAATCTCACTTTTCTCATCTAAAAGTGAGTTATTAAACCTCCATCATAGGGTTTTGAGGATTAAATGACAATTCATGTATTTAGAATGGTTCTTGGCACATGGTACATGATAAGCAGGATGTGCACTGCCAGCAAAAGACACCCCTATTCTCAGCCCTTACTGAAAAAGGTATCAATTTTAAGATTGAATAATTTAAGCCCTATCTTGAAGATAACTCTAAAAGTAATGGTGCTAGGCGGAGTACTGAATTACTTCTAAGTAGTCGGACACGACTAAGCGACTTCACTTTCACTTTTCACTTTCACTCACTGGGGAAGGAAATGGCAACCCACTCGTGTTCTTGCCTGAAGAATCCCAGGGATGGGGGAGCCTGGTGGGCTGACGTCCTTGGGGTCACACAGAGTCGGACACGACTGAAGTGACTTAGCAGCAGCAGCAGCAGCCGCTAACCAAAGGTGCTATGAGAATGCCTTAGAGTTTTTCTCAAATTGAGAAGCCCAGACTCTATCCCAGTTGCATCAGGCTCTCCAGGGTCCAGGCATGCATAGAGATATATAACACATATAATTTCTATTTACACTTTTAATATATGTATGTATATATTTATATATGAAAAGTTTCACAAGTGGCTCTGATGTGAATCGCTGATGGACTGTTAAAACTATATTTTAATAAAAGACTACCCAATTAGTACTTACTCAAATATGAAAATAGCACTAAAAAAAAGGCAGATTAACATATTAGTCAAATCACCAAAATAAATTTAGTGAAATTAATACTTGCAAAAACTATAAGCAGTGTTATGAGTCCAGTATTTCCAGGTTTATCCCATTCAGACCTATCAACCCACATAGATACATCAAAACCATATCACCTCCCCAAGCGTCACTCCTTTTTTGCTATATTAAAGAGAACTTTTATTAAGTTTTTGCTGTATTAAAGAGAACTAGAAGACATACCATGTCAGCATTACATTTCTAACTCTGCCTTCACATGTTTAGCTTGGAGGCATGTCTCTAACACTCTTCCAAAGCAGGGTTTCTCAACCTTAGCACTACTGACATTTTGAGCTGGACGATTTGGGGGTATGCGTGGGACACCCAGGTTGTCTATGCATTAAGATATTTAGCAGCGTGCCTGGCAATTATCCACTAGATGCCAGTAGAATCTCACCTTACTCCAGTTATGACACCAAAATGTTTCTGGACATCCCCTAGTGTCCCTTGGGAAAGGAGGGGAGAAGGGTGCGAAATCACTCCCAGTTAAGAAACCAGAGCTCTAGTGAATGTTCTTCCTGCCTGGCTCTCTGCAGACAATTTTCTCTTTACTGAGCTAGCGCATTATCTCAATTTCTTCATACAGGACAAAGTAAGCAGACCTGAAAAAAAAAGGACTAGCTTTTTAATTGCAAAAAGCAGCAGTATGTTAACTAGCCCAAGAATTTCTCACTTAGCTATCAGCAACACATTGGTAGAACTGCGTCTCAATGCCCATTCAAACACTTACCAGCTGTGTGGCCTTGAGCAAGTCACTTAACCTCTCCCAATCAGTTTCATCTGCAAAATCGGAATAGCAAGATCTACTACTTTGCAGAGTTGCTACATTAGAGATAATTTAAATAAAATAGTTCTGTGCCTAACACATAGTAGAACTATAATAAATGATATCTACTATTATATTAATAGCATAAAGGTTGATAGCACTGAAGGATATTGTACACCCTCTGCAGTACTTATAACAGCACTCCAAATTTATTGTGCGTTAGAATCACCAATGATATTTGTTAAAAACTGAAGATGCCCAAATCCTATTCTCTGAGATATCCAGGAACAACACTAGAAAAACTGGCTGAGAGTTTTTTATATTCGAATTGACTATGGTGTATTTTCACACTGTTGTAAAACTCTGCAGCATGTTAAGACACATGGGGGCAAGACACATGAAAACAACTGAACCGCATAAAATATTTGCCATATAGAACAAAAACTACTGTAAAATAATGATGTTTTAACAGTTTATTTTGAAGGTCATTTTAAAAATAAAGTTAAAGACAATCTGAAAAAAAATTGCACGGAACACACTCATTAAATAAGTTTGTGATTAAATCAGTAAGGGAAATGATGTCTTCTTCTGCAACTCCGAAGTAAGTTCTGTTGTCCTGAAGGTTCTTATTCTTCCAAAAAGGGTGGGGTGGGGTGGGGGGGGTGGGGGATCATGGCAATTAAAGCTGCCTCTTAATCATGTAAATCTACAGTAGAAACCAAATTTTTCTGTTCTTCCCAATAAGTCAGTTTCGATCTTCAAACTGTGCCTTGTTTTTTAAAAGATATGATGCTAGAAATTCAATGGGATTTGGTGGTCTGTAAGGGAAAAGAAATCCAAATTTTAGAAATTTACATTCTAGATGCGTTAAATGTATTGTTCCATAAAATCTCTTTTCTTTTGGCTGTGCCATATGGGATACGAGATCTTAGTTCTTGGACTAGGCATTGAATCTGTGCCCCCTGTACTGGAAGTACGGAGTCTTAACCCACTGGATTGCCAGGAAGTCCCTTAAACATATTTTAAAATTAAGCAGTGGGTAGGAGGCGGAGCTGGAAGAAGGCGGTCAAAAGGTATAAAATTCCAATTGTAAGTACAAAGGATGTAATGTACAACATGACCATAGCTGACACTGCTGTATGATATACAAGAAAGTTGTTAAAAGAGTAGATCCTAAGAGTTCTCATAACAAAAAGATGTTTTCTTTTTTTTCCATTGTATCTATGTATGAGATAATGGATGTTAACTAAACCTATGCGGTAAACCATCATGCTGTAAACCATCATGCTGTATACTTTAAACAGTGATGTATATTTTTCTCAATAAAACGAAAAAAATTTTAATAAAATAATGTTATTTCACATTTATCACTTTTACATATGTACTTTTTGCTGATAAAACAGGTCCAAAGATGAAAAGTTGGGGGACCATATATTTTAAACTCCATTATAAAAAAGCATATTTAAAAAAAAAAAAAAAAAAAAGCATATTTAGAACTGATTTACAACAATCTCTAAACATTCTCTTAGCACTTTAAACAGCCTTTTGAGCTAACTAGACAGAGACAATACTTGTTACATAATAATTTGATGGATTATTTTGCTAAAATCCCTTACAATAAATGCAAAAACTTTCATTTATTAATAAAATATTACTTTAAAACTTTTTCAAATTTTAGGCTTCTAGAATTTAAAGTAATATTTAGAATTTCCAATATACTGGAAATTTTACAGTGTTCATTATTAGTCTTTTGAAAAAAATATCCAGGCAAGAACAATGGAGTGGGTTGCCATTTCCTTCTCCAGGGGATCTTCCCCACCCAGAGACTGAACCCCCACCTCCCATTTCTCCTGCATTGGAGGGAAGGTTCTTTACCACTGCGCCACCTGGAAGCCAGTTACATCCAATAAATACTGACTAATGTAACTTACAAAAAAATTTTCTTATTGATTTACTTATACAAAAATAATTTAGGTAGAATTACCAGGGAAAAAAACATATACATAACAGAGAAAAAATTGTAATCTTGCTAACAAAAAAAAATGTAAATTAAAACAACTTCATAAAAAAAGTTTATAACACACGTGTAGTTAAGGCTATGATGACACTGGAAGAATCTTAAGGATAAACTTTTCGATGGAAATATATTATTATGGGTCAAACACCATAAAAATAGTCATGTCATTTGAAATAGTAAACCAACTCTTGGGTGTTTATCCTAAGGAAGTAATTAAACAAAAACAAAAAGAAATGAAAGCAGATAAACTACCTAGTGACCAACAGTAATAAAGGAAATTGGACCTAAATGTTCAAAAATGAGATATAAAATTACATGTATACCATGATTACAAATATGCACATGATCTAAGACTAGTATAAAAATACAATGTCTGAACTGAGGTTATGTCTGACTTCTTTTTAAAGAATCTTTAGTATCTATAAGTTTCTTATACAGTAAAATAACTACACTTAACTAATGATATTTCAACCAGAGAAGTTTTTATTTTGCTTTCTCTGGTAAGCCCATTTGCAGAGAGACACTATTATCTTACCTTTCCTTTGCAAGTACAGCAAGTCCTTGTAATAAGATAGGCACAACTGTCTGATCCAGATAGGCACGAGTTGGCAAAGACTGGAGATCCACTTTCTGTTTTGATGACTTTTCTGCATTAATTTTCTCATTTTCTACTATCCTCTAGAGAATTTAAAAAACCATGCATAAATATTAGAACTGCAAATCCCTCTGCCAAAATAAAATCAGACCCATTTCTAAATGTCACTCAAGAATTTTCTAAAGGCACCATTATATCTCATCCTTTTAACGTCGTATCTCCATATCCTACACTTACTTTCTCTCTTTGCCTTTTTTAGGAGCAAAAATAAGTACTTTTTCTCTGAGAATACCTTCCTACAGTGTGCTTCAAAAAAAATCTGGACATGACACTAAGTAGCACGGAATCACAGTGAGAAAACTAGTCCTGTTTCAATTTTTTCATCACATAATATCAAGGACAAAGTCTCAGTTTGATACTAACATGTCTCTAACACTTCTGTAACACTTGCTAACCTCCCTTCTTAAGACAGGGAACAGGTTTCAGGCTCAGAGGCTTCAACAGGCAACAGAGTCTAGCTAAAATTTATTACCTGTTTTGTAGTCTCTGTTTTGTATTTCCTGTTTTCATTTTTATAGTTACCTCTACCACAATGCGAATGCTTTTCCATTTATGTTTCTTTTTAAAATAAATGCATCTGATTTTTTTAAGTAAATTTAAGGAAAAATATTAAGTAAAAATAGCCAAAAAACAGATGGCATGACTAATATGGGAAAGATCATTACAGTGATATTTAAATGTTTAGAAAATGATGACTTATACTTCCTTCACCTAAGAATCCCCATGCGAAAACTTGGGCCTTTCATATAGATTATCTGATATCCAGAGTATCAAAAATGGCTTTACTAAAAGCTGTGCCTTCTGAAAATCTACCATTTCAGAAATTTAGAAATAAGTGGCTATCTCAAAAGACGAAACACTATTAAGAGCACTTTTATTTAAAGAACTTTTGTTCCAATCATACTAGAACTGGATATAAATGAGTCAATAATTATAAAAACAATTTTTCTGTACTTAATTTTTTTAAAGAAGATTTTATTTTGTAAAAACTGAGAAAAAACTTTAAGCATATAACATACATACCGTGCTTTTCAAAACATTTGCCAGAACTATCAGATAACTTGTCTAATTTTGCTTATAATTTTTCAGTCTAATTTTTGGACGTAATAAAAATAATTATATACACTAATGAATGGAATAGCTATTTTATTTGCCCATAAATTAAGAAACTTTCTTGTTCATCAGTAAATTGCAACAAATATATGATAAAAACTAGTCATTTACAGGACATCCCGATACCTTAACAAAAAACAGCAATACCTAAGCAACTCTAATAGATCCTATAATAAGGTCCTTGACAAGTTCTCTCATTTATATCATTTAAACATTCACTAAATACTTACTATGTACTGTAATGCTTAATTTTAGTAAAGTCAAAAATCCTAAATTAATCTAAAAAAATTTACAGCTGACCCCTGAACAACATGAAGGTTTGGGGCACCAACCCGTTCTGCCCAGCCAAAAACCCACCTATAACTTACAGTTGGCTCCTCCCTATCTGCGGTTCTCTATCTACAGTTCTACATCCTTGGGTTCAACCAACTGGAAATCACACAGTACTACAGTATTTACTATTGGAAAAAATCCACATTTAAGTGGACCCACGCAGTTCAAACCTGTGCTGTTCAAGGGTCAAACGTATATCCAAACACACACACGCACACTCATGAGAGATGAAGCTTTTAAGAGTGTTGACCACAAAAATGGGAAAAAGTCAGGTGAATCCTATGATTGCCACGCTTCCTGCATCCTGCCTGGAGAACTTACAATGATACCCAAGAAGAAGGAACCAAGCAGAGCCCTGCAGTCTCCCTCAGCTGAGAAGACAGAGCTGAAAAATCAGAGAGACCAAGGGAACTAGAAATCGCAGAGCAGAGTGCTAAGAGGACAATTTCACAGAAGGGGGTTGATCAGAAAGAGACGAAGAGACTGTCCCCCAGTCTTCAGGTGAGTACTAGTCAGAGCATGAGTGTGAGGGAACTACCGAAGGCCGGAAGAAAAAACCACGTAGAAGCACATGGCACAATCCCCGGAGCTCAGACAGACCAGGAACAGTTCAGCGTCCTATGATCCAGAATGAAAACCTCATGACACGTGAAGCATTGGGCGGAATACACAAGGAAGAAATTAAGCATGAACTAAAGGCTAGTCGGTTAGCCACTCAGTCCTGTCTGACCCCATGGAGTGTAGGCTCCTCTGTCCATGGAATTCTCCAGGCAAGAAAACTGGAGTGGGTTGCCAAAGGCTAATCTGGTCCCATCTAAAAAAGCTTAAAGGCAAACTTCAAAAGGATCAAAATGTTTCCAAATAACTTGACCATGTCCCAGAACAAAGCTCAAGAAGGTCTGAAGAAACGCAAAAAAAAAAAAAAAAAAAAAAATGCACCAGCACCCAGCAAAGTGCACAGTGCAAAGCCTTCAGTCAAGATTACCAGACAAAGAAGCAGGAAAAAACTACCCATGATGAAGAGAAAAACCAATTCACAGAAACAGACTCAGGAATGATACAGATAGCATTGGCAATGCATTAAGCTAGTTATTATAATATATTCCATATGTTTAAGAACACAGAGGAAAGAATGAGTAAATTAAGCTAACAAAATACTTGAAAATATTTGAAGAAATGTCTGAATTTTCAAATATCATTAAAACTCTAAATGCAAAGATCCAAGAAACTCAATCCTAAGAACAAGAAACATTAAAACAAACAAAAAATTATGTCAAGACACATCAAAATCAAGTTATCTAAAACTAGTAATAAATAAAATCTTAAAAGCACAAAGAGAAGACATTTAAATATGGAGGAGCAAAGAGAGTAGGGATAGAACACTTTTCATCAGAAACAACATCAGCCAGAAGACAATGAAGCATATCTACACTCAGCAAATATACCTCAAAACAAAGGCAAAATAATTATACCTTTTTAGACATTCAGAACCTTAAAGAATTCCTTACCAGCAGACCTCCACTACAAGAAACGTTAAAGAAAACCCTTCAGGAGGATGGGAAATGATGCCAGATGGGAAGCTGGATCTACACAAAAGGCTGGAGAACCCAGAAACAATAACTATATGGATAAACATGACTTCTTCCTCTTTATGTTTAAATCTCTTTTAAAGAGATAATTAGACAGAAGTGAAGGGAGCACTTCTGGGCTCCACAATCACCTGGAGCAGGTGGCGTTAGGTCGACCCTGCTGGGCCTCTTTCTACAGTTCCGCCTTTGCTCTGGTCTTTGGAAATCTTGCTGGTGCCAGACAGCATCCCAGATGTGTGTGAGGGACTCCTATAGTGCATAAATTCCCCAAACGGCCCCCAAGGGGCAGGCACAGTGCAATTCTTGACGGCCAGTGAACTGAAGACAACAATGTGGCTTTCTGGCTTGTCCAGTTTACTGTTCTGTTTGCTTGTCTGCCTCTTGCTGGGTTGCGTGAAGCGGCAAGCTGTTACCAGCGTGCTTTGCTGGCAAGTGCTCTGACTAGGGCTCTGAGGCTGCACCGAAGATGACTTCGCTTCCAGTTAAGCAGAGCCTTCCTGGCCCGAGCTCTGTTAGGGGACTGTTGGCGCTACCTGTTGTATTCACTCATCTTTGTCAATTCCTCCCGTGACAATGAATATGTTCCCCGTCTTGTTATTCTCTTGGCTTCAAGCTGCCACATACTGGGAAAAGGCACTTAATGCAAAGGGTTCAAATAGTTTATCCCTACTGAGACCTCTCTTGCATAAATTAAGCACTAATCAACAGAATATTTTGAAATTCATTGCTTGTCATTAAATAATCTTGATGCCTGCTACAGTTTTTACGCTTTTTTAGTAGCCAAGAAAGTTTGCTCCAGCTTTTTATATACTATAGACTCCTCAATGCCGATGTCAAAGAATTGAGGGCTGTTGTTGAGTATCTAATAATGAAACCTGCTTGCCCAGGGTTTGTGAGAAGACTCTCTCCAGAGCATTGCCTTGATGAGCAGACTAGCACGAACAGTTGCATAGTTTAACATCCAGCTAAGTTATATGTAATCTAAATGAGTATTGTTAGCCGCTGGTACTTCTGTTAGAGATGATTAATTCCAGGTGTAAAACTGATCTCAATGCAATTTACAGAAATGCATCTCAAAAGAAAAATAATCCTTTTCCCAGGATGCTAAATCAAACTTTTAAATACTGAGGAACTTTACTGTACTGTGTTGTTAATGGTTAAGTAAGTTTAAATCTTGTGACAAATGTATCAAAAGTTCTTTAGACTGGTGTGCCTTAATCATGAAGTACACCTATTTCTCTTGTAAAAATAGCTATAAAATTTGTTTTCATCTAATTGGTAACCTTAATTTGTATCTGGCATGAGTTGATTATGGTAATATTAATGTGTAAATTCAGCATATTTTAAGACAGTATTCTTTTGCCATTCAGTAATTTTAGGTGATTTTAAGAACACTTCCCACTGTGTTTAATTTCAAATTTTTTCTGAACCAACCAAGTGCTCCTTGGTTAGGACAGATTTATTTTGGATATATCATTAAAATAGGAATTCTCTATGTATCTTATGCTATGATCCTCCAAATTTTTATTTTCATAATTACTTCTATGGCTTCGAATATTTTTTTTTAAAGGTCCCACTATAAGCTTGTCTGTTAGCCAACTGGGTAAATATCTGTGGTCACCTAGCATTTTACATTAGAGAGCAGTAGTCAAGACAGTTTTCCTTTCAGAGACCATTGAGTTAACATTTCTCAAATACAAAATCCTCCTTTTTTTAGAAATGTGCACACACAGGTTTTAGTAGTTTACAGAATTACTTAGATCAGATTCTTGACTGACAGTTTTCTCAGTTTCCTAGGCCTAAATTTTCACAATTACAGCAGCGCAGACTCCTTTTGAAAGGCATGCAACTGAAGATTTAGCATATGACTAAACTTGGTACCTGTTTTAAAATAACAATGAAGATTATGTATACTCACCCATCAAATCGGATTTAAAAGATTTAAAGAAAGGTTTATATGTAAGGTTATTGATTGGGAATGGGGCCAGAGGAGGAATTAAGGGGTAAACAGTATAGATTTCTATTTTGCAATGCAGAGACAAGTTTGGGGGAATTTGGATGTATAATCCAACTGTGACTGAGTTGTATGTTTAATACATTTGTTGAGCTTCCATCAACTCCTTTATAAAATTCATTCTGATCTTTATTACTGCTGCATGATCGGAACTGCTTGAAACATTGAAAAATGCTAATATTGAGTAATGTAATGGTTTTTATAACCAGTTTTCTTCTGTGTATGTGACTTGGATTTCTCAAATACACTCAGTGACTTATCAGTAACATCAGTTTTCTTTTTATTCAACTTTTTGATCCACAGAAATATGATAGTTACTTGATAACTGTAACCAGCTATTTTTGTAATTTTGAAATATTTATCTACTAAGTTAGAGAAGCCCATTAATATACAGTTGACTGTGGAGGGGGCAGAGACTCATTATCATTATGTAATCTGATGGTTTTAAAAATTAAATTTTCTAGAGCAATAAAGTAACTATAATGTTAAGTAAACAATTTAAAAAATTTAAAATGAAAAAGATAATTGATTTTTTAAAGAAAAAATAAAAACAATCAATTGCAGGATTTATAACATATGCAGAAATATAATATGTGATAACAATAGTATAAAGGCCTGGAGAGAGAAAATGGAAGGATACTGTTGTAAGGTCCTTATACCATACATGAAAAGATACCACTTGGAGGCAAATTGTGGGAAGTTAAACTTCTGTACAAGTCCTAAAGCAACCACCAAAAAAATTATATGTCAATAATGGAAATAAAATGGAATTCTAAAAAGAAAAGCAGCAGCTGTAGAACAGTGATTTCCAGACTTTGAGATATCACAAACAAGTAAATTAACAATAACATATTGAAAGAAGGGACTAACATAAGGTTGTTAACTCTATTTTACCAAGTAAAACCTCATAAACAAACAATTATTATTTTACTATCACCATTAACTCATAAAAGAACAGGCATTTTAAAATTATGGAAGCAAGAAAACCAATCACCAAATAATGTAGCATCATCATTCATTCATTCCACTTTCCTTTTTTCTCACTGTACTATGGAAATTGGTCTGAAGGTTTGAAAAAATGTATTTGGTATCACTGTATCATGGCTCTACCTCCAAATACAAGCACCAACAAGAAAAGACTGCACTGATGCCTAAAAATAATCCTCTTAAATGACTAAAACACTAAGTGGCATAGAGTATCTTCATCTGATTCAACATAGCAGTTCAATTAAAAACTGCATCATGAAGATTCAAATTCTCTTAACCCTGATATCAAACCAATAAATAATCCTGGCAATTTACAGGCACAGAGAAGTCACTCCACATGACAGGGAATTCTGGAGTTGATCAAGGTCAGCAATATAATTTAATCCCACCTCAAAAATGTCAGCCTGCCTAGGTTTAAAACACAGTTCACCTTCTTCCTGGTGAACTTAGACAAGTTAGTCAACTTCTCTGAGCCTTGCAAGACAGAAAATACACAAAAGTTACTTAACGCTAATATTAGTAGTTATTACTATTATTATTGTACTTGGAAATGCTCCTGCCCTCATTTATCCAAACTTTATTACTGATGTTTTTCTTTCCCCCATAAAACACACACACCTTCTCTATATTCCTAACCAATCTCACCTAGCTCTGATTAATTCAACTGTTCTAGCATTTATTCTTTCACTTACAAAGTAACCGCTTCTTTTAGAGAGTAACCTCTTAATACCTGCAGGAAAAAGCTTTATAAAAGTATACCTCCTTTTGTATACCGTTTTGCACATATACTCTCTGAATTCAGATTTAACCATGTAAGGCAAAAACAGTGTCTATCACCTGTGTTATGCTTCCAATGTCGCCTGCTAATGAACTCTGCAAAGATATCAACCTTGACTAAATGTTGACTTCACCAGCACACTATCCGCTACAAAAACAATGGGTTTCCTAATTGTAATGTGCAGTTTTTCCACTGCAATATTTCAAGAGAACATAAACAGACACCAAGCAAAACGATTGACAATCTCCGTTAGTAATACATGTTTCTTTCTCTATATCATTTTCAAAGTTCAACCTCTGGACTCAGCTAATATGTACGTCTACATAGCACGAAGCATTAGTGCTGCTAATAAAATAAGCTGCCCATAATGTGACACTACTTGGTTCAGATGATAAAAGTTTTCCCTCGTGCAAAGCAACCTAGCAAAAATGGATCCCAAGTTTCTGCAGCTCTTAAGAGACGCAAAGATATGGCATAGGAACTGGGCAAGTTACCTCGACGTTGTCTGTGAGACCATATTCAGAGTGGGGATTTTCTGCAACCTAGAAAACAAAACACAAGTCACAGAGGCATCACCCACTCTTCCTTGCTGCACACTGCCACCCTAAATCCAGGGCCTCCTAGTACCTGCGTCTGTCCCTCCAGCATCTGCTCTGGCTCCATGGCGGACCCTGCAAGTCACACTCCCCCGGATACCAGTCTTGGAAAACAAGAAACACCGTGAGTTACCCGGGAGATTTTAAGAAAGAAGACGCCGGGATGGAGCCCAACCCAGTCCCGACCCCGCCCCTCACCCCCACCTGGGCGCGGGAGCACCACGAGCTGTAGAGGAGCAGGATGGGACAGTCCACGACCGGGCGCCCGCATCAGGTCCGGTAGCTCCGCGGTACTCCCAAGAACCTAGAAGAGGTGGGGGGAAGGGGAAAGGGAGCTGATTACCCGCGCCCAAGCCGCTCGTTCCTAAGAGCCCTGCACCGCGCCACGAACTGCCAGCACAAACCGCTTCCGCCGTAAGTGGCGGATGTCGCACGACTGCCGCGCCTGCGCAGAACTGCACAGCCGGGCCCGAGCTAGAAAGGACCGGGAGGCTTTGTAAGTATAATGTGCTGTCTGCGATAAGCAGCGTCCTGGCTTAGGTGTGACCCGCAGTCTGCGAAACAATCGTTCCTTGACCTGCCTACGCTGAGCAGCCGCCACCCCACCTGCAAACCCAGTGAATATACCAGCTGTCAGGGGTTCGGCCCGGCCATCCCTCGGTGCTGCCTGAAATCTGCCGAAGCGCTTCTCCGCGGAACCAAAAAAACTTGCTGAATAATTCTTACGAAAAAAATCTCAGACCGAAACTCAACAAGCCGGGGAAGAATATCAGTTCAGTTCAGTCGCTCACCCCTGTCCGACTATTGGCGACCCCATGGACTGCAGCACTCCAGGCTTCCTTGTCCATCACCAAATACCAGAATTTACTCAAACTCGTGTCCATTGAGTCGGTAACCATCCAACCATCTCATCCTCTGTCGTCCCTTCGTCTCCTGCCTTCAATCTTTCCTAGAACCAGGGTCTTTTAAAATGAGTCAGTTCTTCGCATCAGGTGGCCAAAGTATTGGAGTTTCAGCTTCAACATCAGTCCTTCCAATGAACATTCAGGAACTGATTGCCTTTAGGATGAACTGCTTGGATCTCCTTGCTGTCCAAGGGACTCTCAAGAGTCTTCTCCAACACCACAGTTCAAAAGCATCGATTCTTCGGCGCTCAGCTTTCTTTATAATCCAATTCTCACATCCGTACGTGATTACTGGAAAAACTATAGCTTTGACTAGATGGACCTTTGTTGGCAAAGTAATGTCTCTGCTTTGTAATATGCTATGTAGGTTGGTCATAACTTTTCTTCCAAGGAACAAGTGTCTTTAATTTCATGGCTGCAGTCACCATCTGCAATGATTTTGGAGCCCAAAAAAATAGTCTGTCACGGTTTCCACTGTTTCCCCATCTATTTGCCATGAAGTGATGGGATCGGATGCCATGAACTTTCTTTAATGTTGAGCTTTAAACCAACTTTTTCACTTTCCTCTTTCACTTTCATCAAGAGGCTCTTTAGTTCTTCACTTTCTGCCATAAGGGTGGTGTCATCTGCATATCTGAGGTTATTGATACTTCTAGTAATCTTGATTCCAGTTTGTGCTTCATCCAGCCCAGTGTTTCTCATGATGTACTCTGCATATAAGTTAAATAAGCAGGGTGGCAATATACAGCCTTGACGTGCTCCTTTCCCAGTTTGGAACTAGTCTGTTGTTCCATGTCCAGTTCTAACTGTTGCTTCCTGACCTGCATACAGGTTTGTCAAGAGACAGGTCAGGTGGTCTGGTATTCCCATCTGTTGAAGAATTTTCCACAGTTTGTTGTGGTCCACATAGTCAAAGGCTTTGGTATAGTCAATAAAGCAGAAGTAGATGTTTTTCTGTAACTCTCTTGCTTTGTTGATGATCCAGCAGATGTTGGCAATTTGATCTCTGGTTCCTCTGCCTTTTCTAAATCCAGCTTGAACATCTGGAAGTTCACAGTTCATGTATTGCTGAAGCCTGGCTTGGAGAATTTTCAGCTTGGAGAACTTTGAAAGAATGTGAGATTAGTGCAACTGTGCGGTAGTTTGGGCATTCTTTGGCATTGCCGTTCTTTGGGATTGGAATGAAAACTGACCTTTTCCAGTCCTGTGGCCACTGCTGAGCTTTCCAAATTTGCTGGCATATTGAGTTGCACCACTTTCACAGCATCCTCTTTTAGGATTTGAAATAGGTCAGCTGGAATTCCATCACCTCCACTGGCTTTCTTCATAGGGATGCTTCTTGAGGCCCACTTGACTTTGCATTCCAGGATATGTGGCTCTAGGTGAATTATCACACCATCATGATTAACTGGGTTGTGAAGATCTTTTTGTACAATTCTTCTGTGTATTCTTGCCACCGCTTCTTAATATCTTCTGCTTCTGTTAGGTCCATACCATTTCTGTCTTTTATTGTGCCCATCTTTGCATGAAATGTTCCCTTGGTATCTCTAATTTTCCTGAAGAGATATCTAGTCTTTCCCATTCTATTGTTTTCCTCTGTTTCTTTGCATTGATCTCTGAGGAAGACTTTGTAATCTCTCCTTGCTATTCTTTGGAACTCTCCATTCAAATAAGTATATCTTTCCTTTTCTCCTTTGCCTTTAGCTTCTCTTCCTTTCTCTGCTATTTTTTTTTTTTTTAGTTCTACCACTTTATTGCTACCAACCGATCTCCCTCTACCCTCATGCACACTTGCTCAGTCATGTAACCCCATGGACTGCAGCCCGCCAGGCTCCTCTGTCCATGGACTTTTCCAGGAAAGAATACTGGAGTAGGTTGCCATTTCCTTCTCCAATTCTCTGCTATTTGTAAGGGCTCCTCAGACAATTCTGAGTTTTTGCATTTCTTTTTCTTAGTCTTGATCACTGCCTCCTGTACAATGTCACCAACCTCCTCCATCCATAGTTCTTCAGGCACTCTGTCTACCAGATCTAATCCCTTGAATCTAGTTGTCACTCCCACTGTATAATAGTAAAGGATTTGATTTAGGTCATACCTGAATGGTCTAGTGGTTTTCCCCACTTTCTTCAATTTAAGTCTGAATTTGGCAATAAGGAGTTCCTGATCTAGCCACAGTCAGCTCTCAGTCTTGTTTCTGCTTACTGTTTAGAGCTTCTCCATCTTTGTCTGCAAAGAATATATTCAATCTGATTTTGGTATTGACCATCTGGTGATGTCCATGTGTAGAGTCTTCTCTTGTGTTGTTGGAAGAGGGTGTTTGCTATGACCAGTGCATTCTCTTCACAAAACTCTATTAGCCTCTGCCCTGCTTCATTCTGTACTCCAAAACCAAATTTGCCTGTTACTCCAGGTATTTCTTGACTTCCGACTTTTGCATCCCAGTCCCCTATAATGAAAAGGACATCTTTTTGGGGTGTTAGTTCTAGAAGGTCTTGTAGGTCTTCATAGAACCGTTCAACTTCAGCTTCTTCAGCATTACTGGTCGGGGCATAGACTTGGATTACTGTGATATTGAATGGATTGCCTTGGAAATGAACAGAGATCATTCTGTCGTTTTTGAGATTGCATCCAAGTACTGCATTTCAGACTCTTTTGTTGACTATGATGGCTACTCCATTTCTTCTAAGGGATTCTTGCCCACAGTAGTAGATATAATAGTCATCTGAGTTAAATTCACCCACTCCAGTCCATTTTAGTTCACTGATTCCTAAAATGTCAATGTTCACTGTTGCCATCTCCTGTTTGACCACTTCTAGTTTGCCTTGATTCATGGGCCTAACATTCCAGGTTCCTATGCAATATTGCTCATTACAGCATCAGTCTTTATTTCCATTACCAGTCACATCCACAACTGGGTGTTATTTTTGCTTTGGCTCCATCTCTTCATTCTTTCTAGAGTTAGTTCTACACTGATATCCAGTAGCATATTGGGCACCTACTGACCTGGAGAGCTCATCTTTCAGTGTCCTATCTTTTTGCCTTTTCATACTGTTCATGGGATCCTCAAGGCAAGAATACTGAAGTCGTTTCCCATTTGCTTCTCCAGTGGACCACATTTTGTCAGAACTCTCCACCATGACCTGTCCGTCTTGAGTCAGACCTGATATGACCTGGTTGCACCAGATATAAACTGGTGGTAGTTAATCCCACCTGAATTGCATGACGGCTATGCAGTGGGACAGGAGAGGGACTAGGAAGAGGGAAGAAAGGGAATGAATTTGAAGAGTTAGCCAAAAAACATTCACTATCATGTATTCAGAAAGGAGTTCATATTCATTAGAAGCTTACGACAAAAGAAATGGAATGACAAAAGACTGACACAGCAGTTATACTTCTGGGATTTTATCCCATAGAACACAAGGATACAAAGATACTATACCACAGTTTTTAGTAGGAGAAGATTGGGAATAGATTAAATTATGATATCTCAATACAGGGGATTACTGTGCAGCCATTGAAAAGAATGAATTATATCTACGGTGCTGTTGTTGTTCAATTGCTAAGTCATGTCCAACTCTTTGTGACTTTTTGGACTATTGCCTGCCAGGCTCCTCTGGCCTCCACTGTTTCCTGGGGTTTGCTCAGTTTCACATCCATTGAGTCAGTGATGCTATCTAACTGTCTTATCCTCTGTCATCCCCTTCTCCTCCTGCCCTCAATCTTTCCCAGCATCAGGGGCTTTTCCAGTGATTCGACTGTTCACATAAGGTGGCCAAAGCGTTGGAGCGTCAGTGCTTCCAATAAAGATTCAGGGTTGATTTCCTTTAGGATTGACTGGCTTGATCTCCTTGCAGTCCAAGGGACTGTCAAGAGTCTTCTCCAGGACCATAATTAAAAGCATCAATTCTTCAGCACACAGCCTTCTTTATGGTCCAACTCTCATATCTGTATGTGACTACTGGAAAAACCATAGCTTTGACTATATGCACCTTGTTTGGCAAAGTGATGTCTGCTTTTTAATATGGTGTCTAGATTTGTCATAGCTATATACATCTATATAGGTATTGGCCTGTTAAAAACATTCATAACAACAACAACAAAAACATTCACAACATAATTTTATCTGAAAACACATGTTGTAGGATATCTGTAGTGAGATCTT